TGAAGTGAACAGCTAGCAAAAAGGAGGGAGAACTAGGTAGCATCTAATCTTAATCCATACTCTGACATGGAGGAGATTAGTGATTCTCTAAAATGAGAATGTGGTGTTTCGGCTGAGGTGAGCTGAGATCCTGTTTCACAATTTTCCACAGAAAAACACACTGCAGTTGATCTGGCTCCATAGACCTAGCCACAGCTCTTTGAAAAACTGTGGTGCTAGGAATGTTTCCTTGTTTCATTTGGCAATTCAGAGACTAAACCAATTTGCAGAACATTCCTAAAAATGCATTCTGTGTGAGGCACTGATACACATTTTCTGTAAGTATAACTCTGAAGAAGTTATAGTTGTGATAGTTTCTTGTCCTTACCCGGAGAATGATGTTCCTGAGTGTGTCTTCACTTTTCCAGAGTCTGATGTTCCCTGACTTCCAAGTGGCTGATGCAACACTATTGGTTCTAAAACCTCCAGGCAGGAATTGGCATTTGATTTGCAAAGACATGGATAGATTTTGGGAGTTTCTGAATCAAGGACTGAAATTACTGTGATTCAACTGATTTTTGTCTTCCTGACTTTTGAGTCCTTTTGCTCATTCTTCATGGTTTAGTGCAGGTGTGACTTTATCTTCTTGCCATGAGGGAGGAGGTTTTCATATTATTTGCTATCCACATAGAAAAATAATGCTCCAAATGGACAGTTCGAGCAAGCACAGTGGCTCAGGCTGGTCAGAAATAGTGCAGCTAGAAAAGTCTTTGTCAATCTATTTTAAAAAAAGCTATACAATCTTTTGAAAATAGGAATTGTCTCAGACCAATTCTACAGTATTGCCAAGGTGATTTTGACTTGCAGCTAACCAAAAAATGCCTCAACAGGCTGACAGTACATTTAACATATTTATTTCCTCACAAGTTCAATGTCAAGGGTGTGATGAACATGTGTATGTGCCCTTTATTAATCACATATGTGCTACTGTTTCCTGAACTGCTTTCTGATTCTCTGTAGAATCTGGAAAACAGTAATTTAATCAGGTGACCCACAGTTAGGCTTTGGCATCAGCCACAACCAGGACATGAAGGAGCCGACAATGGCTCCATGAATTAGGAGGGAGGTGCATGACTGTGATGGAGAGCAGGAGGAAAAGCATCTATTACATGTATTCCCTACAGGGCAGGGAATAGATGTAATACACTGGTCCTGTTTTCACGTTGATCTTTGTAATTTTTTGTAATCTTTGCAGTGAAATTAGTCGAGATTAAAAGACATTTTCATTTCTGCAATGCCAGAAACACCTCTCTGTGGACAATCTTCTCACCTCCAGCCCTTGTTTCAGATGATGGGTAATCTGTCTCCTGTGCAGCAGTTTTGGCCTAGGAGGCAGAGCCCTTTTTCTCCTTTTTTCCTGCCCTCTGAGCTGCTGCCTGCCTCAGTCTCCCTTATAGAGGCCATTGCACTCCCCAAGCACCCAGCCTTACAGTCAACCCTGACTCCTTTCACTCTTAGTCATCACTTAATTTTCTGGCACTGCCTTGACATTTGTGGTCTGCTCCTCTTTTTCCAGCCCTCTGGTGTAAAGGTTTTATCCAAGTCATCATCCTTCAAAGATAACAAGAAAACTTGAAAAAATAGTTTGTTTTTCCAGCTCACAGTGGCATAACTCAGGAGAAAGACTACTGACAGAAACAGGGAGACTGATAATCAGAGGGGGAAAATAGGTTCACACCTTCAAACTGTTCATTTTGCCTGGCTCACACTGCCATCTCCTCAGATCCAGCAAGATGGCATAGGAAATCAATACTCATTTTCTGTGTTCAATTTCTGCATTTTAAAGGTAAGTTTTTTTTCCTTCTGCAGAATAATGCTCTTGCCTGTAGTCAGGGCAGGTATTGAAACACTTGAATGTGTTTTCAAAAATAATTTGGTATACCCACACAAGATTTTTGATATTCTTCAATATTTCTGAGATTTGCTGGCCAAGGCTGAATCCTGCTTGTGAGTATAACCCTTTTGATAAGGTCGAGCATAAAGGTAATGGCACCAAGTCTACAACAAAATTAACTGAACGAGCTTGACAGCCGAGTTCTCGGTGTAAATGCCTGTTTCTGCTTGGTAACTAAATTTATCTATTATCAGAGAACTACGCCTTCTTCAAGCCCAGTTCTGAACCACAGCTGAAAAATTAGTGACTTTTAAACTTTTTGCTTTGTCGTGTCACGTTTATTTTTGATAAAAAGGAGAAGCACTTAGTGACCAAACATCTTCCTTACTGATCTGCAGCAACTGGTTACACCTCAGAGATCTCATCTGAAGCTCTCGAACCTTTTTTTTCCTTTATTCTTCCCCCTTCCCTTTTTCTTTTTAAAATTTTTTCTTTCTCATTTTTTCCCCTCTCCCAGTCTAGTTTTCACACGCAGGAAGAACGCATTATCTCACAGGAGAATATGGAAGTCCCTTAGACGTGGGAAAGCGCATCTCTCTCGACCCGCGCGATGAAGGCGCAGCTCTGCCCCCGCCAGCCGGTCCCTCCCGGTGCCCGCAGACCCACGCCGGCGACAGCCCCGGTGAGGATGCCGAGAGCTGGCCTGGGGCGTGTTTGCACCGCTCCCCCGGGGTGCAGCTGCTGTCGGGGCGGTGTGGGACAGGCCGAGGTCCCTTTGCAGCCCCGCGGCCCCTCGGTGGGGCGATGCGCGGGAGTGCTGCTGCCCTCTCCCGGGGGATGCGGACCGCCCGGCCGAGCCGCCCCC